ACTGGTCATCAGAGAAATGCAAATCAAAACTACATTGAGATACCATCCCACACCAGTTAGAATGGCGATCATTAAAAAATCTGGAGACAATAGATGCTGGAGAGGATGTGGAGAAATAGGAACACTTTTACACTGTTGGTGGGAGTGTAAATTAGTTCAACCATTGTGGAAGACAGTGTGGCGATTCCTCAAGGACATAGAAATAGAAATTCCATTTGACCCAGCAATCCCATTACTGGGTATATATCCAAAGGATTACAAATCGTTCTACTATAAGGACACGTGTACACGAATGTTCATTGCAGCACTGTTTACAATAGCAAAGACCTGGAACCAACCCAAATGCCCATCGACGATAGACTGGATAGGGAAAATGTGGCACATATACACCATGGAATATTATGCAGCCATCAAAAACGATGAGTTTGGGTCCTTTGTAGGGACATAGATGAACCTGGAAACCATCATTCTCAGCAAACTGACAGAAGAGCAGAAGATCAAACACCGCATGTTCTCACTCATAGGCGGGTGTTGAACAATGAGAACACATGGACACAGGGAGGGGAGCACTACACACTGGGGTCAGTTGGGGGGAAATAGGGGAGGGACGGTGGGGGGTGGGAAGCTGGGGAGAGATAGCAAGGGGAGAAATGCCAGATGTAGGTGATGGGGAGGAAGGCAGCAAATCACACTGCCACGTGTGTTCCTATGCAACAATCTTGCATGTTCTTCACATGTACCCCAAAACCTAAAATGCAATAAAATAAATAAATGGGAAAAAAAAAAAAAGAGAGAATACAGGTCCACAATCCCTTATCAATTTCAAAATTAAAAAAGCACAACAAACTTTTTCTCAACTTTTTAGGTCAACACCTGGTTTGAACTGAAGTAAGTACTGCCTTTAATTATCCCTTTTAATGCTAATATCCTTACTTTTGCAGCAGATTTGTTAATGTGATTGACAGCAGGGGACTACCCCAGGCCTACCTGGGCTGTTACATGATATGGGATAGATGCACCATAATACCTTTTTAAGATCTGAAAAGGTCTCAATTCCAAAGCACATCTGTTCTCCAGGGTTTTGGCTAAGGGATCAGGCCTCTTCCTTAAACACAGCAATCACAAGACATTCACAGTTCAGGGTGTGAAGCAGGTACCATGTTTCACCAAAGCAGCTGGAAATCTGAGAAGAGATGAGACACACACATAAATGAATATCCTACAAAGTAGGACCGGATCATGTCTAGTTAGGGGACATCAGGGTGTACTATATGGAAAGGGAACATTATCCAGAGCGGGCAATGGCACGGAGGCAGAAGGCTGCAGGGGAAATGTGGGATCAGGGATTTCACTCCAACAGGAGCAAAAGGCCTAAAGGAGAATGGGAATAAAGTTGGAAAAGTCACTGGGGTCACATTGGAGAGGACTTTGAAAGCCAGACTGAGACAAAGCTTGGCAGGGCAACTGGGGCTGTTTTCCAGGAAGTTAAATTCTTGCAAAGTTGAGGGAGTCACATGAGTAACTGACCAGGAAACAATCGTAGGAAACCTACAAAAAGACAACGTTGTTGTGCACCAGGGAGTGGCCTTTGGGTTCCGGAGGACAGCTTCAAAAGGAACTGTGAAGACAGAGGGAAAGGGCCCAGGAAATGTGTGGAGCCGTGGTTCTGTGGACACGGGGGCCACTGGTCTGAGCAGGGGCTGGGCGGGGCCTGAGTGCTCCTGGGCCGGCCCTGCCTCCTCTGCCTCCCCTCCCAGCTGGTGCGCGCACCGCAGCTCTCCCGGAGTCAGGCCTTAGTGCCATCAGCAACACTCTTCTTCATTTGTATGTCTCCTCTAGCCTACCCAGCAAGGCTTAATTATTTAAATCTCAATTAATCCCCTTAAGGGTGCTTGCATGAGAAGTTTGTTTAATTACCTCCTTTAAACTCCCCTGTTGCACATGGCCTTGTTCGGTTTATTGATCACTCAACCACCAAGCTTCTCTCTCCGAGCTGACAGCTGAAGTAGCTCGGAGCAAATTCCAAGGCTCACTGTGCTCCTGCCTTTACTCTCCAGGTTGTGCTACAATGGAGAATGGAGCTCAGGACAGCCGCTGGAAAGAATGGAGGCATCAGAGTCTTCTCCACGATGCCTCCGCCTCCCTTATCATCTGCCAGCATCCCTGCCCTGTGCCAAAGCTGCAGGCCAGGCATTTCATACCCTCTCCTCTCAGCCAGTCATAGGGCTCCCGTGCCTGCGTGCATGAGGTTTGACCCACTCTGTGCCCATCCAAATCCCTCCCTTCCTCCGGGGCCCAATTCAAGCCCTTCCTTTTCTAAAATGCCTTTTCTGCCCAAACTCTTTTTTTTAACCACCTGGACATTCTGACAGCCTGGCTCGGTTCCCGGCCAGTTGGCTGGGTACATTTCACCAGGCAAAACTGACCTCTACCTCCTTTGGCTTCTCATCTCAGCAGCTCTTTGAATGCGGTTACTTTCAGCCCTAATTGCTTCTCTCATTGAGACCACACATTTCCTAGGAGCAAAGGCAATGCCATGTCCTCACAGCACCTCATACAGTAAGTGCTCAGACATTGCTTGTTACATGTGTGGTAAAATACACATAACGTAAAATTTGCCATTAGCAGCATTTTGTACAGTCATGATGTGCAGTGCTCACTACCATGTGGCCTCAGAACATTTCCATCATCCCAAAAGGAAACGCTGTACCCATTAAGTAGCCACTCTTCAACCCCTGCCAACCACCTATCTGCCTTCGTCAGCACGGATTTGCCTATTCTGGATATTTCCTATCAATTCAATTATAGAAGATCTGGCCTTTTGTAGGCTGGCTGCTTCTATGCAGCATAATGTTCTCGAGGTTTATCCACGTTGAACTATGTATCAGTTCTTCATTCATGTTATGGCTAGATATTATTCCATTGTAAGGATACCACATTTTGCTTATTATTCACTCATATTTTGATTTTTCAGGACATTTGGGTCAAACATTGCCTTTTCATTATTAATATTTTTCTCTGGAGTATTCACTCTTGTCAATGAACATTTACCCTCTACACAGCATATGGTACAGATGGCAGGGATCCAGGTACCAAGTGGCAGGCACCAACCATCTGAAAATAAGAAGACAGCCCTACACAGTCAGTGGGGCACTTTGGCCAAGCCTGTCTCATGTCATCTTTACAACAACTCTTTGAGGCAAGTCCTATTACTTCCAATGAACACAGGAGAATATGAGCCTTAGAAAGGGAAGTGACTTGGGAAAGGGCCGTGGGGCCCCTAAACTGGAGAGCTGACCCTTATCCTCTGCTTCTCAGCTCTTTCCACTATGCCATGCTGTCTTGCTGACCCTGGAATGTAGATGAGAGTCTTGTTAGTCTTCAGTGTGGGGATCATCTCTTCTTGAAGTCTCCGCTAAGCTATTTCCTTGACCCTACTATCCTCAGGGGACCACCCTCTCTCTTCCCACACCGTGTCCTGTGCTGACTTCTGCGTCTTCGTAATTTCTAGATCAGTGGGCTCCACAGTGGGTATGTTTCTCCATGAGTCATCAGAGAGCAAGAATAAAATATTAGAACCTTCATGTATATTTATTGGCTGTCTCATCTTTCTAAACTTGATAGTTTTTATGTTTGATAGTGAACACAATATATAATACAGTATTCCATGCATTTGAATAAATATATATTATATGCAAACCCTTTTTGTACTAAAGGGCTTTCAAGCAAGGACTCCACTGCATTCTAATATGAGCTTCTTGAATTCTGACTCTAATTAATCTCTGGATTCACAACTCTGTGGCAAGCCTGACACATAATCTCCAAGCAGGTGTTCAGTATATATAAATTTTTAAAAATTTTTAAATGAGTGGCTTTCAAAGACCTTTCCAATCTCCTCATATGCAATTTCCTGATATCAAGCTGAAATCGAACTTCTTCCCTTTGAGTTTCTCCAGGAGGAGAACCAGACTATATTGCTTTTTTTCCTTCTGTAACCTCTATTACTGTGAGGCAGCTTTGATGAAATGGTTCTTGGTGTATTTAGAACTGAATTTGAGTTGCGTCTCCACTTCATCCTAGCTCTGGGACTCTGAGTTCATTACTCTCTGATTCTCCATTTCTCCATGTTGTACGCTTCACAATCTACAACGAAGTTCAAATAGGAGGTATATGAATGTTTTTAGGGAATGTTATCTATGGTAAGCATCAATTATTTTCTTCTTTAACAGTTTACGAGGCAAATAAGGCTAACATCAAAAAGTCGGCAACGCCTCTGTATTAAGCCATTCTGTATTAAGTCCTCCATTTGGGAGGACTTAGCAGGGTGGGGGCAGGGAAGTGAAATGGAGAAAGGCTGCCTGAAGCAAGTAGCAGGTGACATGGTCTTAGAGGTGAAATATATCTGAATATTTAGAGTTGGGAGGAGGCTATTTAGGTAGATAGAACAGCATTAGCAAAGGTATCAGGTTGGGAAACTCTCTCACGTCTAAGGAATTTAGCAATCTAATAACTTGGCGGAACTACAGCACCTATGTCCAGTAGCTTTGGAAGATAAAATGGGAAAATTGAGTCTGACCTACCAATGAAGGTGGTTGATGCTACAATGGGCTGTTGTGTTTGATTTCTTAGACAATGGGGAACTACTGGAGGATTCGAAGAAACAGGACACTCCAGCTGCATTTAGCATGTTACAAAATAATGTGGCTAGTAGGTTCCCGTTTTTTTGTTTTTTAGTAGAGATAAGGTGCGTGTGTTTTTAATTACATATGGACTAAATTTTAAAAAAATTAGCAGATATTACTTTCTCAACTGAGAATGAAACCATGGTTATTTCTGTTCCAGGAAGGAAAAGATCTTCCTGTTTGAGTGATTTCTCTTTAACAATGCAGAGGATGAATTGGAAGAGATCAGCCTTTAGACTTTTCAAATAAGATCTGTCTGTGATTTCAACAACCCTCAGGAATTGTGAGATATCCCCACCTCCCTGCCCACCACCTGCTACACTGTCTTTACTATGTACATATGTGAACATTTCTCCCTCTCTCACTCTCTCTAATGAAATGGAAGTTTGCATCCCTCCCTAAATGCACATGTTGAAATTTAACCTCCAGTGTGATAGAATAAGGAGGTGGGGACTTTGGGGGATAATTAGGTGATGAGGCTAAAGCACTCACCATAGGGTCAGGCTCTTACAAAAGAGAACCCAGAGAGCTCCCTCACCTCCTTTCTGCCCTGTGAGGAAACAATGAAAACTCAGCAGCCTGCAACCTGGAGGAAGGCTCTCGCAGCACTCAGCCATGCTGGCAGCCTGAGACCTCAGACTTCCAGCTTCCACCACCACCGCAAACAAATTTCTGTTGTTTTTAAGCCACCCAGTCCATGTTATTTGTGTTACAGCAGCCTAAACAAACTAAGGCGCTCTGTTGCTCTCTCTCTCTCCCTCTCCCTCTCTCTCTCTCTCTCACACACACACACACACACACACACACACACACACACACACACACACATCACTCTAAAGTCCAAGAAGAGGCCCTCCTAGAAGGCGAGTCAATATCCAGATGATCTCAGAAATAAAAGTGCCCAGAATGGGAAGATCTTCACTACTGACGAAAGCTGACGTCTTTGTACAGCAGACAGTCAGAGATTCAACTTGTTACCTGTTGGATTCTATCTTAACATGGCGCTCAGAATTGTGGGGTGTTCACGCTTTCATTCAAGGTCTCCCTTGATGTAAGCTACTTAAATCATTTACTTCCTTATGGCTTCTATATCTACCTTTCTCTTAATAGTCTATTTAAAGCCGCAAGATGCACCTCATTTTTTCCCAAATGTAATTTGTGAGAATTTGCATGAAACACGCAGTAACAAGTGCCTCCTGAATTATGGATGATACCCTCTAATGGGTTGGAGCTTGTTTGGAAAGTGTGGTCTTATAAACTACCAGGTTTGCTTTTTATGGCAAATTGAATGCTATTGCCCCACTTGCTTTACATATTCTCCTAATTAGGGGAGATAAAATAGATTTTAGACCTGAAAAAAGAAATTTCTTTCCAAGAGCCCACATTTGTATAGAGAATTAAGCTCATTCCAGTCAGCTGCACCCTCCAATTTAGAGCTGTTGTCAGCAGAAAGTATCATCATAAGAGATTTCTCCATGGGGGCTCTTACGCAATACAGTTC